TATTTAGTTTATATAAATATATGCTGTACTATATAAATTTTTTATTAAAAAAAATACATATTTTATATTAATACTACAATTATTATTTATTACATTTTATACGCGTTTATTAAATAAATCAATATACATTTAATATCAAACACGTATATTTAATATCAAATAAAAAAAATGCAATATTGTAAAAAAATCAATTTTTTGCACAAGACAATTGTCACATCATTAAATTTATTGCTATCAAGAACATGTGTCTTCAATGATTCATCGCATTAACTTTTTCTTTTAAGTATCTTTCGAGAAAATAAGTCAAACTTTCTTAAAAATTAAAAAATTCTGAAACTCTTTCTCTCTCTCTCTCTCTCTCTCTCTCTCTCTTTCTCACACACCATATTTATTATATAAATTAATAGTAATGCGGTGGTGTGTATTGATATAATCGATATTGAAAATATGGTTTTTATTAAATAACGGCAAATAATTAATCTGTTTTAAATATTACTTTTTAAATCTTATTTAATTAAGAGTTGTTAATTATTAATTTTATAATAATTTATTCATACTTCTCTATTCATACTATCTCTTTTAATAAGATTTTTATTTAAGTGACTAAGTAAATGAATTGTCTAATCTCCGGTACGCTAACGTAAGAAAGAATCGCAACTGCAGCAGCAGGAAAAATGCGGCGCGGGCGCACTTCTTGGTATATAACTTCAACCTGACCGGGCCATTTACGCGCGAGATTTTCGCTTGCCCGAGTTGCAAAAAAAAATCCTATCTCAGCCGTCGCGAAAAATTCACAGACGCACGTACCCCATTTCTACAAAACGTGTCTTTTTTCTCCTGTTGACGTTCATTCTCGCTTCATTAACTGCGAATCAGCGACGTATCTACATTAAGAAAAAGAAAAGAATCATCCTACTTCTCTTCCCCCAATCTCTCGTTTTCCGCTGGAGGAGGTCGGGTTATCAGGAGAAAAGAGAGAGAGAGAGAGAGAGGGGGGGGGGGAGACAGAGAGAGAGAGAGAGAGAGAGGGAGATAATAGTTTGCGCAAGGGGGGGAGATAAATTGTAAAATCGATGGGTCTCCTTGGAGCTCGCCAACTTTGTCCAAATCTTCTTATTGCAAAAAAATCGTCCGTTAATTTTCTCCGCTGATTAACCCTTTCAGCTTTACATCCGTGAAATTAAATTGCTTGAGAATGGCGTTATGAAATTTATTTCCTAATTTATTCGGAATGAAATGAGCCGTAATTTGAAGACAGAAGCGTGCCGGGGAAACTATCCACAATATCGTATTTCCGAATGACGTGGAGTTCCTCTTGGACATTCGAAAAGTTGGAAGACAATTCCCAGTCAGAAATGATAATGGAATTGATGTCAATTCGACGAATCGATGTCGATTCCATTATCATTTCTGACTGAGAATCAGCAAAAAAAAAAGAAATAAAAGAAGGATTAATCAAACAATAGCTTTGATTTTTTCAAATATGGCGGATAACTTTTGCGAGAATAAACAAGATCATTGAATTTCAACGGAATTGTTTGTTTTACGCTTAATGAACGCGGCCACTTTTCGAAAAGTTGGAAAACGATTGGAGGGAATAGAAGAAAAGAGAGGAAGTAGTGAGAGGGAGAGGAGGGAAGAGCGGTAAACCGCCGAGGTACTCCAATCAGCTTCCCAACTTTAACCGCGCTTCTGCCTTCCGGCTGGTAACTCCCGCTAATGAAAGCTGCGTGCAAACTCGCGCAAGAAACCGCCGTTCATGTTGGACTTCAGTTCGCGTATGAAAATAGCGACAAATGATAAAGTATGCGGTGATATACGTTTCGATAATTGAAGCATCTCTTTTTCGCTTCGAAGATTACGGTAAATAAAATTTGCTCGTTAACGTTATTATACAATATATAAATATCATCTATTAAACGAATGGCTCCATGGAACTGTATGGCCACCTAGAACGATCAATGAACATAATAAGTCAACCGGCTTTACTTTCACAGCCGTCACTCGTTGTTTACGGGGAGACTTAGCTCTGACGATGGAGGGACGGCAGGCTTAGTTGTGGGTTAGAGCAGTCCTTCCGAGGGATGCATGGAAGGTAATTTCAATTTATCCGCCTTTTCTCTTCAGCGCGATGACACCGAGCGTCGCTTGGCAAGACATTTATTGCTGCGATGAGGCATCGTCCGGGATTATTATGCGCTCGGGATGCATTCTTATGCGACGACGCTTAATCGTCGCTGTTCAACACTCTTGTCCTCCCAACCAGTCTGCCATTAATCCTCGGGAGTCCCTCGCCAAAATCGCGACGGCCAAATCGTGGTAAAATTAAAATGCGAGATGCGCTCCGGCACCCAGAACAAGCCTCTTTAAGAGATAAACGCGGAATATTATTTGTCTAAATAAGAGCAGAGTGCGCGCTGAGAATTATCTTCTTTTTTTTATTAGATACTTCGCATTACAATGAAATAAAGAAAATTAATTCTGTTAATATATGTATATTTAAATTAATGTTATATTTTTGTATAACATATGCCACCGAAAGAACAATTTTGCTAAAGTATTTAAAAATTTAGCTAGATATAGGTTCGAAAATGATTCGAAAATAATGTCGAAATAATTATGCGAAAAATAATTATGTAGAAATCTGAAATAGGATGAGCATTACTGCAAAAAATTCTAATATTCTGGCAATCAGTTTGTCCTACATAATTATTTTGATAATTCAAAATTTTTTTAATTTAGCTAAATATAAGTTCAAAAATAATTTGGTCGAATCATCGAAATAATTATGTGGAAAATAATTATGTAGAAATTTGAAATAAGATGAATACTGTTGCGAAAAGTTCTGATATTCTGGTAACCATTGTTTGAACGTTCCTACATAATTATTTTAATAATTAAACAAAATTATTTTTATATCTGTATCTATTTTTATATCTCTATCTCAATTTTTAAATATCTCAGCAAAACAGTCCTTTTTTACATATAAATTATATACATACATATTATATACATACAGAATATTAGATATGATACTTCTATACACACATATATAAGAAATTAAATTAAGATGCTATAAATATATTTATTTATTTTTATATAAATCTTTGATTAAACCTATAATTTAATTTAAAATAAAATTTGTAAAAATTAATTGTTTTGTGTTGTAAATTTCTATGAAAGAACATCTGCTTAAAATGCTTTATTATTACACAAGGTTCGTCAATCTCTCGATACAACCATCAACGTAACATGGACGCGCTCTCACATAATATGGACGCGCTCTCGCCGCAGCGTCATCTCTGATTTTCGCGTCAAAGTTGCAGCACGAACTAAGCATTACTAACGAACTGACGGGCGCCAAATTTAATTTAAACTGAAGTCTTTAATGTTAAAAATGTGGAATTAAGACTTAAATTGAATTTACATTTATGTATTGTGCAATTTTTTGTTTTTTCTAATATTTTTACTAAAACCTTCTAATGCTGAAATGTCGCAATACGACAAATAATCATGTTTCACTTGATTGCATGCCGCTCTTAAATTGTCGAGCTCCATTTAGCGCTCACCAGTAACCGATTTCGACATGCTAAGAGCTTTCGTCTACTGTTTCAAAGGCTTTAAAGCTTTCGCGCTGAATGACCTAGGTAGATTTTTTAGCAACAGCGATGATGATAATAATTTTTCATTTGAATCAGTCATATGTTGCATTAAAAAATAAAGAGAAAATCAGTAACATCTTCAAATAAAAAGGAGAATTCATTGTATAAATGTATAAATTAAGATGCAATTATAAGTTTCCTTTCAGAAAGTACATAAGACATAAGACATAACTGCAAAATAAAAAAGTTTTTGCAAACGCAAATATAAAAGTAAATTAATTATTTTCTTTATATTCGATATATATGTTTTTATAATTACAAAGTTTACAAGTTTTACATTTATTTACGTTTCCATATCTCTCTATTTAATATTATTTGAAATAGTTATTAAAAACAAATGTTTATTTTTTTTCAATTTTATCTACTTTTCATGAAATATCATGAAATATAATATTCTTGTCTAAATAAAAACATTTATTTAACTAATACTTTTGTGTGAGACACGAAAGTAATATAATACAAATAATAAATACATAACATATAATAGAAATAATAATTAAGTTTATAAAATGGCTTAAGGAATCGTTAGTACACTTGGGGAGCATATTGTACATGTGATTGTACAGACTTAAAAAGGGAAAATAAACATTTATCATTAAAATCCAAATAGGAATGCATCAACATTATGGATTATATCTCAGGATGAATGAATGTCTAAAACCGCTGCCGTCGGAAACACGTTGGATGCGAGCAATAAAAATAATTGTCCGTGTAGCAACAACCAGCATGTTAACTGCAGCTTGCTGCAAGATGACGGTGGAAACAAAGGGCTGGGAATGACGTTGTTTACGAGCGCCGATTGTTTTAAAAAGCGACGAGAGAGTCGAGCATCGCTATCGGTGGTCTCGGGAGAGCGAGAGAAAAGAAGCGGGGAAGAAAAAAGAGAGAGAAAGAGAGAGAGAGAGAGAG